TATTGAAATTTCAGGCTCTGCGTGCCAGGAAAAGGAAAGCAACAACCAAAATGATGGATAAGATCCAGTTTTTTCCTGAAATACTAATGAGGTTGAAGCCTCCAATAAAAAGAACATCAAGAGAAGAAAAGAACATCAAGAGAAGTAGCTGAGTACTAAACTAGCTTAGCCATTAAATTTATTTCCTATGCATGAACTTGTTGTGGTTAGAATCCATTCTCATAAAGTTCAAAGAGCCAAAGCTCAGGAGCACAGTGGGCTTCCTTTGGTTAAGTCCAGAGAAGAAAAACTCCCGGACTAAGATACTGAAAAATCCACAGCTGGTTCTTTGCCAGAAGACAGCTCTCCAAACCTATTCAGAAAGAGGTCATTTTAGCCTCTTCATCATTTTTATATTACTATTTGCCTGGGCAAAGAACTAAATCAAATTAGATACTGAAGATCAGTAAACTATATAGCTAAAAAAAGCAAGATTACTTTAATGCATAATCATCTTATTAAATTGAGGAATCTAAATATTCTTTATCCACAGGTAAAATTGATTCTGTAATTTTCTTTACTGCTCTCATCTATGATAGATGTCCCTATAGTATATTAATGTAGAAAAATATTACAGACACCTTTCATTTATGTTAATGTGTATTTTAAGTGTCTTCATCAAGAAGTAATTCTGATAATATTTATTAATTTAGTTAATTATTCCTGCCTAATCCCTCAGTTACTTGCCCTTCACTTTGTTGATCATTTAACATAACAAGTACAGTATGTTCTGGAGCACATAATTAATTCTATAATACTGATACGAGTATTTAGAATGTGTCTTGATTTAAAAAGAAACAAAATATAGTTTACATAAACCATATTTTAATTTCCAGGACAATATTTTATGGCACAGCAAACTAAATAAATGTTTAGATGATGTTACTTTGGCTAGACTCTAAAGTTCTTAAAGATGTGATCATTTACAGATTAGCTGGATTAAGAACAAATCATCCTCATAGCCATAATCTAACATGTAATGGTTCTTAGTATGAGGACTTAACTTATAACCATCCCAGCAAAATCAACAGGCAGTTTGGGTCTGTTATTAGTCTCAGAAGAAGATCATCCTTGCAGTGTTCATCTACCTGCCAATCTCCCTCCCTGCAACTTCCTTAAAAAATTCCTCTGACTCATATACCTTTAAACTACACCCTATTTCTCTAGTCCCTAGAAAAATGATTCTAAAGAGTTCTACTAGTTTCCTGTGATAGACAGAATAATGCTCACAAATATACAAAGACACCTTCATCCTAATCCCCAGAACTACAAATATGTTGCTTTAAACACCAAAAAGGTCATCACATACAGGTGTGTTTGAACTAAGGATCTTGAGATGGAGGGAGTCTCCTGGACAACTAGAGAGACTGGGCTTAGGGTGGGAGGACCTAATCACGTAAATCCTTAAAAGCAGAGAATCTTTCCAGGTGTGATTACAGAGGGAGATGTGACTGTGAAGGATGGTCAGAGATGTAGCACTGCATTGAAGATAGAAGGAGCAAGGCACAAGCCAAGGATCACATGCAGACTGTAGAAGCAGAAAATGGTTCCCTAGAGACCCCATAAGGAATGCACTCATTAAAACCTGATTTTAACCCAGGAACACAAACCTTGGACTTCTTTTTATAATTTTTTTTTAGTTGTAGTTGGACACAATGTCTTTATTTAATTTATTTTTATGTAGTGCTGAGGATCGAACCCAGCGCCTCACATGTGCTAGAGGAGCACTTTACTGCTGAGTTACAACCCAAGCCTCCCAACCTTGGACTTCTCATTCTCAGAACTATATGGTAATAAATGTGTGTTGTTTTAAGCTACTGAATTATTATTTAGCAATATAATCTAATACATTGTCTTTACCTTCCAATTTTTTTCCCAAATTCCTGTAATATGATTACTCTCTGATTAGTGAAATAGCACTGATTCTGTAAGGGTCACCAGGGTCTTTATGCTGCATCTGATGGATGCTTTTCCTTCCTTGTCCTATTTTATCTTCCTGTAGCATTTAACAGTGGTGGCTGTCTCTCTCATCCAGGTAAAGCTCTTTGCTCTACTTTCTATGGTATTGTTGTTCTGGTTTCTCTTTAATCCTTTTTTCCTTTCCTTGCAGAGTTCTCTTCTGTGGCCCATTTCTGAAAGTTGATGTTCTTGGGAGTTTGGTTCTAGGTGACCTTCTTTTTATTCATTCTTTTGGCCCTTTATTGTCATCTCCTATTCTCAGTTAGGTAAGGATTGCCCCACTGGCATTAACTGGTCCTTGTAGTTTCATGTTACCTATGCATAAGAGCCTAGAGTTTTTCACAGAGAAGATTTGAGCCAGAGGTAAAAAAAAAATAATCACTTTTAGACTGTTCTTATGTGAAGTTGGTCCAATCTTTTGTAGAAATGGTTCTATGATCATCAGGAATACGAATAAAGGTCAAGAGGGTTTTTTCCTAGGATACAAGAGAAATGTGATCCTCCTTCAAATCCTTCAAGATAAGGGCAAATGTTATTTATGACCTACCCTCTGTGGCTTCAATCTGTGCCAATTTTCTAACTTGCAATACGTACCCTAGTCAGACTAGAGTGCTTTTCAGAATTGTTAAAATGTCAAGCTCCATGATAAAGTACAGTCCTTTCCCCATTACAGCACTGATTATGCTTTATCATAACTGCAGGACAACTGACAACTCTGTCCGAAGGACCCAGAGCCTCTCTAGAACCTGGCAACCTGATTGATCTCATCAGGCCTCTTGTGAGGGAAAGTATGTTGAGACAATGTAGAAAATGCTTTGACATATTGAAGGTGAGCATGTGATGTCAGGTTGAGTGTTCCTGCTGGAAGGAACTCAAGGGAGAACTCATGGGTGCTACCTGCCTCTATACTTGCAGCAAGTAGTTATACTTTCAAGTTCAAAGACTTAATTGACTTGTCTTAAATCATTATGGCTTGTGTATTAAAAAGTTTTGATACAGAACATTCTGTAGTATTAAAATTAATAGTATTTCTCATTAGTCAATAGAAAAAAAAAAGCAAAACAAGCCTTACTGGTCAGCTCTAAATTTCCTAACTTCTAAGCACATTCTTATTAAGTAGCCAGCAATGAAGAAAGTATTTTATGTTCAGTTCAATCAATACAACTGAGTATATAGTGTAATTTTAGACCCAGATCTTTTTCTTTGAAAGGAAAGGGACTGTTATGGTTTGGGTCTGAAGTGTACCCCAAAAGATTCTGTTGTTAGTGCAGGAATATTCAGAGATGAGATAATTATATTATGAGAGCTGTAACCAATCAGTCCTTTTAACTTTAAATAGACTGACTGAGTGGTGACTGTAGGTAGATGAGACATGGCAGAAGGAAGTGGGTCCCATTTGGGGCATGCCCTGGGAGGCTTCATTTTCCCTGTGGTCATATGCCTTTTATTTGCTTCCTGAATGCCATGAATGGAGCAGTACTCCTCTTCCACCATGTGTGCTGCCTCACCTCAGGCAAAGAGCTGTCTATGGACTGAAACTTCTGAAACCATGAGCCCCAAATAAGCTTTTCCTCCTTTAGGTTGTTCTTGTCAGGCATTTTGGTCACAGTGATGTAAAACTGACTTACATATTCATAAAACTTAAATCAGTAAGAAGCTTTCATAGTACAAATATCTTATGGTAATTTACCAAATATGATAGAAAGGTGACAGTAATCAGTTACATAATCAATAATATTTCTTTGTAAGCCCAAAGAGAACAAGTGCTCTTCTAGGGGAGAAATTGTAAAGGCTTCTCAGATAAGGAGGTGTTGATGCCAGTCTTGAAGAATAAATAAGGCAACTAGGGATAAAGATGGTAGAAAGAGAAAGGAAGACCACTATAGGGCAAACAAAGGAACAGTCTGAAAAAACCAAGAAGACCATTCTGATAAATATATCTTCAGTTTGGATAAGAGTCATAATTTCAGATAGCCATATACTCCTGTCATATTTCTCTAAGAATTTTCATATTTTCTACAAATGATATTGCTAGTTTCTAAGTCAGTTGCATAAGTCGAAGTCTTACAAAAAGCAGGGTTAAACATGGTAGAATTTTATTAGAGTTAATGTCTGTGAAAGGAAATGGGGAGGGACCTAGGAAAGGCCAACTTACACATTAGACCATAATGTGTGTTTGCCCTCAAGTAAAGATAGGAAGTAGAAAAACAAATTAGTGGGAGAATCCTGGGCAGCTTCAAGTGCACTTGTTTGGAAACTTCCCCAGGCTGTTGAGGAGTCCTCAACCAAAATCACCCATCAGAACAGTTTCACATGAGCCAGGAATGTGTCTGCCATAGTATTTCCACCACATTCTGTCACTGAGAGCAGCATATGGGAAACACGGCCATGGTACCAACATGGTGGTGTTGAATTTCAGAGCCAGGTAGGAAGGTTAATTATGTTCCCTGCTCTAAAAGACATAATCTCATGGTGGCCAGAGCAATGAGTCAGCTCCTTAGGCATGCCCATAGGCATGGATTCAGTATAAAGAAGGAGAAAATCTGTACACCATACACAAAAGGCCAATGTATAGTGACACTATCCTGCATGGAGTTCCACTAGAAGTCATCAATTAAAATCAGGGGTTCCTTAAGGTTCCCTATGGAAGGCCTGGGATGCCTTGAGAGTGAACCTTTTAAGATGTCACAGGTAGATTTAGCCTGGCCTAACTGAATAGTGTTTTCCTCTTTAGACAACAGACAAGGGCACCAGGAAATGTGCTTACCTTGGAGCTTGCTCTTTAAAGCCATATCCAGTAACAAGAATCTTCTCAGGAGTTCCAGAAACAAACATTAATTGTAAATATATTGACCACTCCAGTGAGGTTTTGCCTAACAAACAAGAAATAAATCACCTCATTTCAAATGACTTCTGTGGGGTGCAATAAAACAGAATAATCTGCTATTTGTAGCCCTTTGTGACTTGTAGGTTCAATGGTTTGCAAATAAGCACAGTTTGAATTTTCAAAATTCACTCCATTTTGCATGATAAAGATAGACAAAAATAGAGCGGCATGTCAAACACTGTTTTTTCTAGCTGCTTAAAACTTGTCATTCACAATCAGTTCTCAGTGTGCACACTTTGGTTTGTTCCTGGAGGATGTAGTTCTTAGCAGAAGAATGCAGGAACAGTTTTTACCCACTCACTTTAGGAGCTAGCAAGATAACTCCAATATACAGAAAGAGGTGCAAAAATTGTTTTTAAGATTTCTTTGATACACAGCAGTTTTCACCCTTTAAATAAACACTCTTTGAGGCAAAGTTTGAGACTTCTATATTCAATTGTTTGCACACAGGAACAGTTTGAATTTTCATGTTTCATTTTGTTTTCCACTATAGATTTGGATAAAAAATAGAGCTACAAATCAAACAAGGTTTGTGCTACATGCTTGAAACTTCAAACACACAATTTGTTCTAAGTGTTCACTCTGTGTTTTATTCCTGGTTAAAGTTGCTCTAAGCAGACAAACTCAAGAATGGCTTTCTCTGTTAGCACTTTATAAGCTAGCAGGAAAATTCCCATGTACTGAGAGAGCTTCCATATTTTTTTCATTGTATTTCTTTGATACTCGGCAAGATTCATACATTCATTAAACACACTCTTTTCTCCGAATTTTGTCCTCCAAGTTTAATGGTTGGCAGAAAGCAACAATTTAAAATTTCATGTTTCATTTTGTTTTGCTCTATAGAGATGGATGGAAATAGAGCTACACATCAAAAACGGTTTGTGCTAGATGCTTGAACTTCAAATACACAATCCAATCTAAGTGTTCAATATGGGATTTATTCCTACTAAAAGTAGCTCTAAGCAGAGGCACTCAAGAACAGCTTTCTCCATCAGTGATTCAGGAGCTAGCAAAAAATTCCCATGTACTCAAAGAATTTCAATTTTTTTTCATTACATTTCCTTGATACTCCACAAAATGCATATGTTCATTAAACACACTCTATTCTCCAAGTTTGGTTCTCCTACGTTCAAGGTTTGGCAGACAGGAACAGTTTGAATTTTCATGTTTCACTTTCTTTTGCACTATAGAGAAGATGGAAATAGAACTACAAACCAAACACAGATTGTGCTAGAGGCATGATCCTTTAAATACACAATCTTATCTAAGTGTTTATTCTGTGTTTTGTTCCTTGGCAAGGTAGCTCTAAGAAGATGCACTAAGAACAGCTTTCTCTATCAGCTCATCAGGAAATGACAGGAACATTTTCATGTGCTGAAAAGGCTCCAAAATTTTTTTCATTGAATTTCTTAGATACTCAGCAAATTTCCTAAATTCATTAATCACACTCCATTTTCAAGTTTGGTTCTCCTATGTTAAATCATTGGCAGACTGCAAGAGTTATAATTTTCAGGGTTCACATTGTTTTGCACTGCAGAGATGGATGAAAATAGAGACATAAATCAGACACGGTTTGTGCCAGCTGCTTGAAACTAGACATAGACAATCAGTTCTCAGTGCTTACTCTGTGGTTGTTTCTTGGTGGATGTAGTTCTAAGCAGAAGCATGCAAGAAGTGCTTTTACTAACTTGGTTTAGGAGGTAGCAGGAGAGTTCCAATATATACAAGGAGCTCCAAAACTTCTTCATTGTACTTTCTTGATACTCGGTAGGGTTTACCATTTCAATAATCTCAGTTTTTAACCCAGTTTGGAACTCATAGTTTGAAATATTTGCACACAGGAATAGATTAAATTTTCAGTTTTTACTTTTATTTGCAGTAGAGAGATTGATGAAAATAGAGCTTCAAATTGAAATTGGTTGATTCTAGATGATTTTCACTTCACTCTCAGAGTCAGTCATTAGTGTTCACTCAGTATTTCTTGTATCAAAGGAGTTCCAAGGACAGGCACACAGAAAAACTTTTCTTTAGCAGAACTTTAGGAGCTATCAGGCAATTTCCAACGTACTGAACTAGCTGAAACAATTTTTTCATTGGATATTTTTTGATATGTTGCAAGATTTATTATTTCTCTAAACAAACTCTTTTCTCCCAATTTTGTCTTTCTAGGTACATGGGTTTGCAGACAAGAACAATTTGAATTTTGAGGTTTCACGTCATTTTACACTCTACAGATGAATAAATACAGAGCTTAAAATACAAAATGGCTTGTCTTAGTTGCTCAAAACTTGTTATACACATTCATTTCTCAGTTTTCACTCTGAGATTTTTTCTGGGTTGATGTAATTCTAAGATGTAGCATGCAGGAACAGCTTTTACTGACTTGCTTTAGGAGCCAGCAGAAGAATCCAAATTTACTGAAATAGCAGCAGTCCACATCCTCAGACCACAGGTGGTCAGCAATATATTTCACACCTTCCAGGGTTTTCTGTATGCAAGGCGACAGCAAGATCTCAGGCTCCCCAGAGGGAGCCTCCACCCTGGGCCCTGAGGCCTGTGGGTGCAGGCGTCTGCAGCCATAGATGATACCCATGGAGGGGGCTGGGAGGCCTGCACACACCCATCTGTCTTTCTCCTCCTCCTCCTCTGCCTCCTCTCTCTCCTCTGCGTTCATGTTGGTCTCCAACCAATAACAAGTTGGGCCGAGTTTCAGGCCTGGGGAGTCTGTGGCTCTAAAGGAGGCTGGTTCATCAGCAGCCACCGGGGCACAAGTCCCAGCAGGGCCACCTGCACCCAGCAGGGCATGCTGTGGGTGCTGGGGGAGCTGTGGTGCACATTGAGCATGAAGATGATGATGACAATGGAGAGGGTGACCAAGATCATGGTGAAGAGCAGGTACTCGCCAATGAACGGGATGACCAGCGAGGTGGACGGGATGATCTCAGTGATGAGCAGCAGGAAGATGGTCAGCGAGAGCAGCACGGAGATGCACAGCGTGATCTTCTTGCCACAGTCGGAGGGCAGGTAGAAGACCAGCATGGTGAGGCAGGAGATGAGCAGGCAGGGGATGATGAGGTTGATGGTGTAGAAGAGCGGCAGCCGGAGGATGACAAAGGCATAGGTGACGTCAGGGTAGATCTCGGCGCAGCAGTCATATTTCTTGCTATTGTAGGTGCCCGTGGCATTGATGATGGCCCACTCACCACTCTCCCAGTAGTCCTTCAGGTCCACCGTCTGCTCCATCAGCTCCTGGTCAATCTTGGCCTTGTCATAGGTCCAGGAGCCAGACTTCATCTTACAATTCTGCTGATCGAAGGGGAAGAAGGTGACATTGATGCTGCAGGAGCTCTTGTAAATGGCAGGGGGCACCCAGGGCACAATGCCCGTGGAGAAGAGGTGCGCTTTGGTCATGTGGGTCACCGCAAACTCCCCATCTGCACTGTGGAGAGAAGACCAACTGAGGGCTCTGCACACCCACCCGACCCACCCAGACTGCTGCAGAGAGCAACGTGAACAAGGCAGTTCTCAGCTGGCCAAGTGTCCCATCTTTTGCAAGGGTATAAAATTTCCCAAGAAGATAAATATACTTGAGTTTTTTTTCATATAACATCGTTTTAATTGCAAAAGGAGGAGTTTTGAACACTGGAAAGTACCAAGAATTTTTAAAATACCCACTATTAACATTGTGATATTATACATGTCTATTCTACTGTCACCCAGACAATGTTTCTGATGGTTTTGCGTATTTGAGGTCACAGGGTGTATGCAGTTCCATTGCCTGTTCTATTCCTTTAATATTTAAGAGTGATAATTTTGAACTGTACTTTCCTAGCACACAGTGAGCAAGCAGCCTCTTAGGTAGAAGATCATGACTTTTTCATTTGGATCTTTTGTTCTTTGCTCAAGAGACATAAGATTTTGGCTAGGAGTCCATGCATCTAACCTCAACCACTAGGGCCCCCCTAGGAGGCAGCTTGGCACCAACAGGAGGCTGGCTGGAGTGCTCAGGAAAGACTCAGCCAAGGGAGGGGAGGGAGCACCATAGCAGAGGGCCCTACAGGAACAAGAAATAGCTGGGGCCAAGGAAAACCTTAACAGTGCTCACTGGGGACACCAGTTAGATGAGGTTGGGGTCTTCATAGGAATGAGAATCCAAAGACCCACAAGGACTATGGGGACACTGGAATAATGGTGACCAGTCAGATGGGACTTTTTCAACTCCCCCTTAGCTTCCTACGGTCTGTCCTAAAGTCCAGGGCATCAGAATACAAGGGAGTTTCCCATGGAGTAGTTCCATGGTAGAGAGACAGAATGGCTGGAAACAGGAATTTTGAAAGAGAGTAACAAATACATCTGGCAAAAAGTCAAAAAGAATGTGTCTTTATGTGTCTACGGAAGTTTGACTGGACCTTTCTTGTGAAAATCGTCTTAGTGGTCATGGCTTTATTGACAATCCTGAAATGTGAAGTTGTATTTGACCCTAGGACTTAGCTCATATCTCTGCCAAATGCTCAGGAAGCAGAAACTAGAATGTTCCTGGGTGCCAGCTCCTGGGTACAGAGCAATGGGGTGGGGGTGTGAGTCAGCAAACACAGGTACCTGCAGTGTCAGACCTGCCAGGTCACCCAGTGGCAAGTGTGTATTTACCAAGACGGCTTAGGTGAGAGGGCGCTGGGCCTGCCTAGGACCAGACAGTGTAAGGAACTGGTGTAAGAAAACACTGACCTCTCTGGAGGTCTAGAAATGGACTCTCTCTCTATGTTTTATTGTTCAAAAATATCATTTCCAAGGTAGGGTCCGAGGGATTGGGAAGTGCTGGGTAAGCTGGTTCTTTGCTGCAGGACTTAAAACAGCATTTAAAACACTATTGTGCTCTGCTGGCTTCCAAAGTCCTTGGCAGGGGATGACAGACATACAGTGTGATACAAAACCATGACCACAGAACCTTGTCATAGCTATTAATATTTTAATATCTTAAAGCAACCTGCTTTAGAAAATGGTTTTAGACAATTATAACACCTTCTTTTAAATTTGAACTTCTTAACTTCTCAATGAAGAATTGCCTGATACCAAACATACTAATAAAAATATAGATTTCTATTTCTCCTATCAAAAATTATCTTAATTCATTGATTTTTGCCCACTGGGATTCTCTATAGACTCCTCCCCCTGCCCCCCTACCCCCACCCTCCAGCTTCTGTTAGCTTCTAGTTGTTAGGGTGAGATTGATCCTTTGGGTCTTGAATCCAAGGCAAGTATAAGAAAACATGATTAAAGAAAAAAACATACCCAGTGAGTTTGTTCTTCAAAGGTGCTACTATAGGATGCCACTTACCTGGTCAGACAATATTGCCATCCTCTAAAATTTCAACTCTTAGGTATTTTTAGAGAGCCTGAACCACATTTTCCAAAGGATACTCAGAGTTGGCAAATCTGTTCCACTATCACCATGCTACAAATGAATGCATCTTCAGTGCCCAGTAAATGTTAGTGTGTAGGAGGGAGAGAACAGAATGAAAGGAATAAAATAATACAGAGGAGGGTGTTCTCTGCTAAGCATTAAGAGGGAAATGATGAAGCCCTCCAAGTCCCCTTTACCATCCCTCCTGGTGGTCTTCTCAGGGCTCCATGGCTTCCTACTTGTTGTAAAGGACAATGTCAGGGATACAGATCATCTCTGAAGGGACCCGGAGGGAGGTGATGTTGCCAAAATCAGCGAGGTTCCAGTGCAGCTTGTAGTAGCTCCACTCCTGTGCAGGGGAGGGGTTCCATCATTTCCATGCCAGGGAGGGGCCTCTGTCAACCTAGGCTGAGCTAGGGATTCCGGACCCCCCAGATCCCCACCCAGCCTCACAGAACAGAGGCTGCAATGCCAGGAAAGGGCTCTGACCAAGCAACCAGGCACACCCTCCCAGATAAACACCCTCCTCACTTTGCCCCCACCTCAGTAGCTAACTCCCAGGCAGGTGGTGTCCTCAGCCATGCCCCTGGTCCTCTCTTGCCTCCGTGGCTGGCTCCAGTGAGGCACTCCAGGATCTGAGCTGAAGCTGCATTTCAGCACATCACAGTTTACAGAGGTGGTTAGATTCTCTAACCAGGAAGAGGCTCCAGAGACAGCCGGCCAGGGCATGCCAAGCAAGTGGAAGTGAGGACCACAGAGGGGGAAATGCCACTTGCCAGAGGCATGCAGCTGAGCTTCGGAGGTATTTGTGACCTCCAGACTATGTTTCAGAGAACTCTCTACCCAGGGGCCGGCCCAGGAGGGAGCAAGTGTTGCTCTGGAATTCACTCCTGCTCTCCCCAAATCATGTCCAAGTGAACCTATGTTTCTCTCCCCAGATCAGTTTTTATTCTCTCTCCATTTCATTCAGTATATTTTCAGTTCCAACCAACATTTTGGGGAACCCACATCAAGTTGGGGCATATTACTGTCCTCAGGCATGTGGTAGTAAGTTGAATCACATTCATTTTATGTCGCGACCCCTTGCCCGCAAGGAAGACGCTACTCGGGAATCTTCTTTCAGCAGTTTATTCAGGCCCTTGATATTTCTTCTACTAATCCTCGGATGCCCCTCCCAGCCTTAATAAAGCATCTCAAGCCCCAATGCGAAGCTGCCACGTGGAACTTTCTCATAGGGTGCTGAAAAACCATGCGCCAACTCTCCCAAATAAGGAGTTGTTTGTCACAAACCACAGCGGAGCCAGCGCCTTCTTGTAATGGTGACCATAATCTGCATAAGCGGCAGAGGCGGCTCACCACAATTTTACAGATGAGGAATATGAGGCTCAGAGAGCTGAATAACATGCTCAGCATCTCAGGGTAGCCAGAGGTGGTGACGGATTTATGGCCCAGGTCCCACAGCAGGGTATGTCCTCACCTCCCGCCCAGCCCCTGTCCCAGGTGACCATACCATGGGGACAGCAGCAGTGACCTAAGTTCTAGGGCTACCCCAACTACACACACAGTACCTTCCTTGCTCTGGTCCCCAGTTGGCATATCTGTAAAGATGAGCCTCCTGACGCGCCAACAGTTCTGGGATGAACAGTATCCACTCAGAGCCTCTGGACCAAGGTCTAATTTAAATAAGTAGCTGAAACACCCCAACACCATCTGGGGCCCCCTGGGGGACGGGAATTACAGAAAGGGCACTGAAGGGCCAGGCACCCATTCAAAGGACTCAAACAGAGATGCCAATCAACATTCTGGTGGGTGTGGCTCTCTGCATGTTTACCTCCGCCCAGGGACAGTCAGGTACGGGTGGGGCAGGGCACCAGCTCCTCTTTCTCAAATTCTACTGCCACCTCCATGTCAGAGGCCTTCAGAGCAGCAGAACAAAGCAGGAGGTGTAAGAAGGGAAGGAACACACTGGGGTTCTCATGAGACCTGAGCTCTAATGAGTCTGTCCTAGGAGTGGCTTATCCAGGAAGGCCATATGCTCTTTGGCTGTCCTTCCACTGAGAGGTGGGGTCTATGGCCCCTCCCTGAATCTAGCTGGACTCCTGTATTTCCCTGACCTACAGAATATGGCAAGATGGATGCTGAGCCCATTCAGGCCATCGGAGACCAGCAAGTTCTGCTTCTGTCTGGGGACCCTCTTTCTGGGAGGCCTGAGCCACAGGTGGGAATCTGTCTTCCCTCCTGGAGACACTGCAGGGAAAGACCCCGAGAGGTCCTGGGCAGGGCCAGGAGGTCAGCCAGGCCCACCCTTTCAGAACTTTCCAAACACCCCTGCTGTGAGTAAAGTTTGTCCTTAACCCTTCAGTACAGGACAGCCACCAGCCAGATGCTCCCAAGTAGTCACCATGCAAAGCAGAGGAAACACTCAAACTCCTGACCATGAAACTGATATACAAAGCATCCAAGTGGCTCTAGTTGGCGAGCTTCGGGTTTGTCAGGCAACACAAACAGGGATACTCAGCGTTCTTTGGTAGAAGGAGCAGAGACAGGCACACCTGGGTGCCCCCTTTACTGGCTCAGCTGCACCCTGCTTCTCATTTTCCTCAGCTGTAAAATGGGCAGAAAGAGACCTCCCTGGGGTTTTGGTGAAATGCACCCTGTCCCCAAGCAGCAAGGACTATGAAATGTCCATTTCTAAGAAAGGCATCTCTCACTCTCTGGTGACATGTCCAGGGAGTGGACTCAGAGCCTGGCCATGCAAGCATAGTCCTCTGGAGAGGCCACTTGCAACCAGATGACCCAAGTGGCAGGTGTTCACCAACCTTGAATGCAGCAGCTTTCTCCTGTCAGGGAAAGGTACAGGGAGGGGTGGGGTGAGGCCCAGCGATGACTGTCCCCTCCCTGCTGGGAGAATCCTCACCTGCTTCAGCTAGACATTGGTGGTCATTGCCAAGGTCTCGGCTTGGCACCAGAATCACGAGCCACCATACACCTTTGTAGGTTCAAACAGCAATTCTTTATTCCCGCTCTCACACCGCCTCCACACAGGTCCAGGGGCAAATCGCGTTCTGCCGTCTGCCCGCAC